GTTTTTTCCGGATTTTTTTTTTTTTTTTTTTTCTGGGGCCATTCCCTGATCCTTGCACGGGCGGGCCGCCCGGTAAAACAGGGTGACCCGGCTGGTCGCCTAGGAATTTGAGCATATACCTCCCAGGCAAAAGTTGTTTGTATTATTATTTTACATAACATATATTTGTTTCAGATTTGTCTGAGAACTGTTTTCTTTTTTTTATTAATATTTGTATGTTCGCATTCGGAGGGTTTTGGCGCTCGTTCGCGTTCGGCCGAACGTTCGGGTTCGCTCACTGAACACGAACACGATGCTACACTGCTACATAGGCGGTCACAAAGATTGAAAAAATAATAAGGCACATGGGCAAAGGGAAATACAGAACATATAAAGTTCATTTCTTGCACCATCCTCTAGATGAACTCTATTGGATAACTCACTAGTCTAACTAGTGGTTTCACAGGATGGTAGATAGGGACAGTAGAATCCTGAAAGACCTCAAGAGAAAACACTCAAGGCATACTCAGACTAGCACTTTTTTAAAAAATGTATCTGCCCGTAATTACGACCAGAGCTGGATGCACCTGACGGCATTTACGATAAGAGCTGGATGCGCCCGACCACAATCATGTCCAGAGCGGACTCAAAAATGGCGTCGTGTGTGTATGCCCCTCAAAACAGCAACAGAAGTCGCCTGTCGTATATATATCGGAATAAAGGAAGGATGTTTCCATTCCATTAAATGCTTTGCATATGGGAAAAAAAAAACGTTCCCATTTCATCAAAAAAAAACAAAAAAAAACAAAAAAAAAACAGCTTCCATTCCATCAAATGCTTTCCATACAGTAAAGCCCTACAAAATTGCAGACGAAGAAACCTGCTGTTTTCTGAGTTTTGTCGCTTTTTTGAGTGACTTGCTGAGATTCGCATATCCTGCCAAGATTTCTAAGTTCGTGTGTGTGTGTGATTGCTGATTTTCCGTTTGTTTGCCTGTCTGCATGATTGCAGGTGTGTGACACTGTGCGTGTGACCCGCTGGGGTACTTGTGTGAAGGGAAGACCCATGGGCCTGGTGCTAACTGTGGCCAGGTGGTTGTGCGGGCGCAGCGGGGTGGTAGAGTAGGAAGGGGAGGATTCAGACATTGGTTCTGGTTCATTCTTTCATTGTTATGATTATTATTATAATATATTATTATTATTATTATTATTATTATATATTTATTATATTATTATTATAATATTATTATTATAATGTTATTATTATAATATTATTATTATATTAATAAAGATACTAAAGAAGAAGTTGGGGGAGTTATTGGAGGTTGAAGAAGGTGGCAAGGTGAAGGGAATTAACATTGGTACTTGCTGGTGCTTATCTTCTTTTTCTTCTTCTTTGATTCTTATTTCTTCTTCCTTTGTCTATGTCTCTTTCCGAGTTCATTCATTTCAGTTGCAATTGAAAGACATTGTCTTTCTTTGAGTTTTCGAGCTGCAAGATATCCAGGATCATAACAATACCAGAAGATGTAAGACTCACGGCATAATCGCATCAGCAATTTCTTACCCTTATCTGGACGAAATCGCAGCCAGATGCATACAGGTACGGCCGTAAATGCAGTCAAACACATTTAAGCCAGCAGTTCACACTTGAGCCTGAGATGACAAAGCTGCCTTCCAAGGCTCGCAAGCCCTGCAACTGCGCCTTTCTCACAGTGGCCTACTGCTTTTGCTACCGGCCCGGGCCCAGGCCTGGAGCCAAGAGCTCTTACAGCGTATACAGGTCAGATCACTGCTTAGGCTTGCGCGAACGCGTGGATTGAACCGCCAACACACGACCCCAGAGCATGCAGACACGAAACTCGTCGCCACCACCAAAAATTTGGGGGCTTTTCATGGCTTGGGGCAACCAGCCTGAAATGGCTGCCGCCGCCAACCAAAACAAAAAGAAAAACGCTGCGCTGGCACTTTGGCAAATTTTGGCGCGGAGGGAGTGCATCGGTTCGACGAAACCGCCGCAGGTGCACTGGTGGTTTAAGACAGTGCTGGTCTCTGAGTACGCCCTTCGTTCCTTTCGCTCGAATAGAATGCACAGTGGTGTCTGCTTCATCAGCGCCACTAGCACTGCAGGGGGCGCGTGTTTTTGGAAAAAAAAAAAAAAAAAAAAAAAGAATGCACATGCAAGCTGAAGTTTACTGTACTATTTCCTGGCTTCGCACCTGCGACATCTCCAGATAAGAAATTTTCAAATTGACCAAAACTATTCATTCAAGTTTTAAAATTGACCAAAAAACTATTCACTACCAGTTCACATTCTTCAGAAGAACTGTCAAAGAAGTTCAAACAACTTCATATCATCATAAATGAAAGGAAAAAAGACAAAAAAAAAGACTCCTTATGTTCCAATAATTCAAATAAAGTTTAATAAACTGATAAGAGAAATCCTGCAGTTAAAAAAAAAGGTGGAGAAACAAGTCCCCAATTCTATCCTGCCAAAAAAATGGTAGTTTCCTAGTGGCTTACTCTGCTGTTTTCCTGTCCGCAAGAAAACTGCGACAGAAGTCGCGTGATGAATTGAAAGTGAAGATGACAGAAATGAACAACACAGAATGGCAATCAAAACTGGGCTGGAGTTTCAAACGCTGGAAGCCCCCATTTTGAGGGATCGAACTCGAAAAGAGACGTCAAAACCTCGTCTGCCTCCTTCTGATATGCTTTGTCAAGATTTGGGTCCGGCACCATTACCGCTGACCTGCATCCACAAAAACAAACCATTAGACACATCTTTTGGCTTCCTGTTTGCAGATATATACATCTCTTTTCCACTCTCTCTCTCTCTCTCTCTCTCTCTCTCTCTCTCTCTCTCTCTCTCTCTCTCTCTCTCTCTCTCTCTCTCTCTCTCTCTCTCTCTCTCNCTCTCTCTCTCTCTCTCTCTCTCTCTCTCTCTCTCTCTCTCTCTCTCTCTCTCTCTCTCTCTCTCTCTCTCTCTCTCTCTCTCTCTCTCAAGTAGCAACACTGTGTCACACACACACACACAAGAAAAACAAACTAATATTAACGGAAAGCAATCTCTAACGGAGAGCGATCACCAACACACTTCAAGAAAGATGCTTTGAGTGGGGGTCACCTTACCTGACTGCTTTTGCTTTCCTTGTTGGTTGCCGACTCTGCCGAGACTTTTCTCATCGGAGCGGAATAATTCTGTGTGTGTGTGTGTGTGTGTGTGTGTGTGTGTGTGTGTGTGTGTGTGTGTGTGTTATAAGCTTCCCCCACAACAACCCCTATTCCAACCAGATGATTAGAACTGGATTGAGTCCGCCCAACACTTTTAAAAAAAAATTCTTTAACAGGCAGCACGAGTCATAATAGAACCATTTTGAACCGTGTTTAGCTAGGGTTTCTTTGGGGCAACAGCTCCTCTTTCACTTTGCCTCGCACGTACAAGGCTGCCCACGTTGATTGTGGTTGAGCGGCAGCTGCCCACATCCCCGTGTGCCTTAACGGCCCACTTGCACGTTATAATAAGAGGCAGAGTAAAGGGGAAGGTATGCTCCTGTGCACTTCACTTCAGATCTTCATACTCCTGTTCAGTTCACTTCAGCTCTCCAGCTGTTCATTTAACTTCAGATCTCCAGCCGTTCATTTCACTTCAGATCTTCAGCATATGCTTAGTCTTTGTGTCTGTCGTTCTTCTTCATACTCCTGTTCATTTCTCTTCAAGTCTTCAACTTATACTTTGTCTGTACTCTTACTGATGCTCATTCGTATGTATTTCCTAGTTGCACATAAGGAGAGGGCGGAGGGAAAGGGACAGGGGGTGAGATTGTCAGGACGTGAGGTAGGGGGAAACAGAGTGCAAGGGTAGGGCAGGCGAAGGGTATGATGAGCTTCGCAGAATTCTAAACATTCACCGCTGGAATAGCACATGAGGTTCGTTGGTGTTTGGGTTGCATAAGATTTTGAGTCAAGGAGCAGTTATTGCCTATGGTAAGTGACCATCCCTGCAGACCGGACAGGACCGGTTCGGGTGTGGACTGTGGAAGCACCGCATCCAATTTTCGCAGTAACAGTTGCTGCATCGAATGGCACGGCGCAGACAGATGTCACAGGCAACGTGGCTCCTACATGCTAGGAACACGGAGGCACGTCGACCACAATTATAGAGGCACTGCCGTTCTAGCCCCTGTCTACAAATTGGACATGACATGTCAGGGTGCCGTACATGAGTACAGTGCCGACTGTCGTCGTAGGTATGAAAGCAGAAACTCGCTTGGACTATTCCTTCATAATCCTCACGGCACAAAGCATGTGAACCACACACTAGTTGAATCTCCGGCGGGTCATCACATAGCGGCATAGAGCATGTTTCTTGGGTTTCCTCAGTATTTATTCCTTCTGTACGGGCAGGCGACGTCAGGGAGGGTCGGTCCAAAGCAAGGGCGTTCAGCTGCTGCAGGATTTGGTCCACAACAGCTCGCCTTGGTGGTGATAAGCGATCAGTACCCCGCTCTGAAGCTGGTTCATATAGAGGTCCATTTTCCTCCTCGGGCTGGCTGCTGTGTGTGTCGCACGTCTGGCAAGGAAGAGGAAGAACCCTCTGCAGTTGCCGTAGGTGTATGACCAACACCGCATGTGGGACATGCTAGGAGAGGATGTGGTGGGTGATGGCACCGGGGATAGTCCACGCAGTACAGACACATACTTTCTATGACTGCTTCCTGGAAGCACTGACGACACATGGCATGTTGCTGACATGTCATCAGTATGGAAGAATGACCTGCACAGTTATTTAAGCATGGCAGATCAAGGCCACACCGGCATGCTGGGCAAGTAATCAGGGGGTGGGGGGGATGAGCACAAGACAAGGGATCACAATTTTCGTGAGAGAGGCTAGCAGCGACCATCCCTTCATAATGTTCGGAGCAGAGGCTATGCCGTGTACACGCCAACCGAACTGTACCTGTGCCACTGCACAATGGGAGGGTGCAGCCACTATCCTCTGGAGAGGTCCGTTCATTGTTTGTGGCAGGACCAGCCAGATTGCTCTGCAGGGGGTGTAGTGCTTGCGAGTGGTAATCGACATACTGTTCCTGATGGACGAGCCAGACTGCGTGATCCTCCTCCATTTGGTGATAAAAAGAATTAACATTTCCTGTTGTGTGCACCCTGCGGCCATTGTCCCATTGGGTCCATGAGTTATCTGCAAAGGTAAAAGCACTAAAATGACCTGGACGATGTAAGATATATGCCCGAATATTTGGATACATGCCTGGCACGTGGTTTTGTGGGGCAGGCTGGAATTGTAGTCGCCTACCCATAAATGCCATAGCCAGGACTTCTATGTTCACACCAGGTGCAGCACTGTCATCCTCTGGGCATACGGCACGGTGCTCTTCTTCTATCCAGCGGGCAACGTCTGCGAAATCAGCAACAGAATAAGGGTTACAATTGTAGGCAAGGAGACATGCATTGATGGCATAGTACGCACAGCGACCTCGCTGTAGCGCTATGACATCGTTGGATTCCGCGGGTTGTGCTGGAGATTCGTTCACAGCAGGAGGAGATTCGTTCGATTCTGCAGATTGCACAGGTGGAGGAGATTCATTGCGGTCTTGACCAATTGGCTCTAGTATGCGCTCCGGAGAGAGACGATCTTCAATCCGGGGCTCCATCAGGTAACCAGAAGACGGGTCAATGTCATTTGGGGCAGGGGAAGCAACGGGGCTAGTTGGATGAGAAAGGGGCGGGTCAGGGGGGTGAGAACTAGGTGGATCAGATGCGGAAAGCGGAAGCTGATCTGCTGCACTTGTGCTTAGAGCGGCTGCCAGTCGTGCAAATGCTGCACAAGTAGCTGCACCTCGTGTCTGGTGCACACGGAGGCCTGCAGCACTGAAGAAATCATCCCCACATTGCGGGCATCGGACTCGGCGTGTACTATTCGTGGCTAGTGTGTATCGAAGGCGACGCTGTCGTTCCGAACGGTTGCGAGCATGTCGGCGGAGCAAATCTCTAGTGGCCGTTGGTGGCACGGTGATCAAGCCGTTCAAGGCTAGACGAGGCCGCTGTCTTGGGGACGGCGGCGGAGATGGAGAATGGACCCGCCGAAGAGGCATCTGCAATGGTTGATCCAACGTCGTATGCGTCCGCCGACTGGGCCTTTGTCATAGCTGATCCGACCATGAATGTGATGAGGGTGATGATGATGTTGAGGTTGATGACGATGATGCTGGCAGCGACGGCAGCTGCGATAGTGGTGCTGAAGGTGGTGGGGAGGGTGGTGGTGGTAGGGTAGGGGGCAGTCGTGGTGATGATGATGGCGGTGGTGGTGGCAGAGGTGGTGATGGTGGCGATGGCGGCGATGGAACTGCCACCATATTCGAAGGATGCTGGCCCTCCTCCCTTGCAGCCCCTTTGGCCCGGTCTCCTGTCGGGTTGACGTATTCTCATTAGCATTTAGAATTTCAGCTGGGGAGGGCTGATGTTGGTTGGGCTGCGGGATGTTTCCTATTGCGTGCGGTTGTGCGAAAGACCTACGTAGAGAATTTGCATTCGGGAGTGGGTGGGCAATTGCCCAGCGTACCATGCGCCGAAACCAGTTCGAAAGCCGTGTAACATGAGTGGGTAACCGGCGCTGCCGGCCACGCCGCCTCTGGCTAGGACACTGGGGGGATGGCCTCTAATGAGCATTCCTCGTGTGAGGGAAGTCACTGCAGCCTTAAAGTCGGCGGTATTGTTACAGATGTGTTCAAATCGTGTCAGCTTCCCTGTGAGCACACCTGCAGGCTGATGAGCTGGGGCATTAGAGGAAGCGCTGGGGTAGCGTATGACAGGGAATGTCCAGGCCTCAGCCTTATCAAAGACGCCGATGCGAAGTGAGCCATCTGGTCGAACCAGGATTCTTGCCCCAAGGAAAAGACACGACCCATCTTGCTCAGTAGTGTCCTTCCACTCAAGACCATATCGAGCAGAAGGGGGCGGTAATGTCTTCCAAGATAGGATATCATCAATGAATCGGTACGTAAATGCATGTGCTTGCGCAGCGCGTAGATCCTGCTGTCGTAATTCATCGATGAACTGTGCTTCGTCCCAATAAAGCGTAAGGTTGGCAATTTCCGGTCCAGCATTAGTGCCCATAGGGATGCCTACCACCTGATGACGCAGAGTGCCATCCCTTGTGTAGAGATAAGTGTTCGACACCACAAACCGCAGATGCTGTTCTATCTTTGACACGGAAAGGGTGTCTGATCCATGTGAGGTAACCCACTCCCCCCGTTGCGGACCTCCTACAGTCATGTACATTTGTACTGGCCTTCTTCCCTGCGGGATACGTGACAAGGCGTAATCATGTGCTTCACGAATCTTGTCATGTGGCAGGTTAGTGTACATGGTTGTGAAATCTGCTGTATGGGGCGTACAGCCTCGAAGGGATCGTGCATTTTGTTTGAGATCTAAGATGACTTCCTCAGCGCCCTGTACTATCCAGCAGCGTCGTACACCTACTTCTTGATAAAGCTCATTGTCCTTACTGCGCAGTGACTTTGTGTGTGTGTGTGTGTGTGTGTGTGTGTGTGTCCATCCCCCCTCACCTTTTCTCTCTTGGATTGTCTATTCTTGTGTCCATCTTTCTATTGCCTGGCTCACCTCCTCTCC